CCCCCTTCCCCCTCCCCCTCCCCCTCCCCTCCCCCCTCCTCCTCCTCCTCTCCTCATCCTCCTCCTGCCTCCTCCTCCTCCTCTCCTCCTCCTCCTCCTCCTCCTCCTCCTCCTCCTCCTCCTCCTCCTCCTCCTCATCCCCCTTCCCCCTCCCCCCCCCTCCCCACTCCCACTCCTCCTCCTCCTCCTCCCCTCCTCCTCCTCCTCCTCCTCTCCTCCTCCTCCTCCTCCTCCTCCTCTCTCCTCCTCGCTACTCCTCCGCCTCCTCCTCCTGCGCCTCTCCTTCTCATTTCTCTCCTCGTCCTCCTCACGGTCCTCCTCCTCCTCCTCCTCCTCCTCCTCCTCCTCCTCCTCCTCCTCCTCCTCCTCCTCCTCTCTCCTCCTTCCTCCTCCCTCTCCTCCTCCCCTAAAACTCCTCATCGTCCCTTTCCCCCTCCCCCTCCTCCTCCTCCTCCTCCTCCTCCTCCTCCTCCTCCTCCTCCACCTCCTCCTCATCTCCTTCCTCATCCTCCTCTCCTCCTCCTCCTCCTCCGCCTCCTCCTCCTCCTCCTCCTCCTCCTCCTCTCCCTCCTCCTCCTCCTCCTCCTCATCATCATCATCATCATCATCATCATCATCATCATCATCATCATCATCATCATCAGCAGCACCTTCAGCAGTAGCATCGTAATCATCGTCGACATCATTATAATCCGGCACCTCACCCCCCTCATCACAAGCATAAGCATAACCATAATCATAAGCACCATCAGCATCCGAACCATCCTCATCATCATCATCATCATCATCATCATCATCATCATCATCATCATCATCATCATCAGCATCATCATCATCATCATCAGAAGCAGCAGCAGCATCATCACCATCATCATCATCAAAGCAGCAGCATCATCAGCAGCAGCATCATCAGCATCAGCAGCAGCAGCACCACCATCGTCATCATCAGCATCGTCATCAGCATCAGCATCAGCATCATCATCATCATCATCATCAGCATCATCATCGACATCAGCATCATCATCATCATAATCAGCACCAGCAACAGCATCATCGTTAGCATCATCGTCGTCATCATAAACAACATCAGCATCATCAGCAGCATGATTATCACCATCAGCAGCAGCACCATCATCTTAAGCATCAGCATCATCATCGTCATCAACATCATCATCACCACCACCATCAAAACCATTATCAACATCAACATCATCACCATCAGCAGCACCACCATCACCACCACCACAATGATCATCATCAACAGCATCAGCATCAGCATCAACATCAGCATCAGCATCATCATCATCGTCATCATCAGCATTAGCGGCATCAGCATCATCATCGGCATCATCATCATCAGCATCAGCATCATCATCGTCATCAGCATTATCAGCAACATCGTCATCGTCATCGTCATCGACGTCAACGTCAACGTCATCATCATCACCGAAATAATCAGCAGTAGCATCATCAGCACCATCAGCATCATAAGCATGATCATCATCATCCTCATCATCGTCCTCAGTATCATCGTCGTCGTCCGCATCATCATCAGCAGCATCATAATCATCTTCGTCGGTGATGTCATCTTCATCATAATCATCATCATCAGCAGCATCATCATCACCACTGATCATGATAATCGGCGTCACCACTATCATCATGATCCTCATCACCAGCATCACCATCACCATCACCATCACCATCATGATCCTCATCACCATCACCATCACCCACTTTCGCGCTTCGCGCTCCGCGAAGCGCGAATAACTTCGCGCTCTCGCGCCGCCCCCCGGAGGGAAAAACGGAGGACGAGGAGGAGGGGGGGAAGGAACGAGGACCGCGAAGCGCGAATAACTTCGCGCCCTCGTGGGAGCCCTTGAACAACAGTATCATCGTTATCATCATCAGAATCTGCTCCAGTCCCAGCTGGAAGGCCGGGAGGTCTAAGGCCGGCACGAGTCCCACACCGTGTGGGGGTTCTCGTGCTTCTCCCAGGCCTGCGCGGGAGCGGGCTGCCGAGGCCCCAGGCTGCTGCTCCCGACGACGACGACGACGACGACGACGACGACGACGACGACGACGACGACGACGACGACGACGTGGGGGAGAAGACGAGAAGGATGAGGACAATGAAAACCACGAGATGTACCAACAACATTCCAGTAAACCCTCCCGATCCAAGTCCCCTCTCTTCGAGTCCTCGGACGCACTTCTTCAAGCGCGAAGCGCCCACCTTGAAAGACGAGCGCACCACGGGCCGCAATTCAGGCGGGAGGCCCGTTTTGAGCGCAACTGCCCTCCATGCCTCGAACTACAAGGAATGCTGAAAGGTAGGGCTGCACAAATCAACGGCATGCCTTGTGGCAACGCTGTGGAAAGAAACCGCCCACAGTCCGTATGGCTACTGTTCAACGTTAGATTGCTCCGCATTGATAATGTAGAGAAATATGAAGCTAGAGCCCCGTTTTGAAAACGGACCGTCCCCTATCAGTTGGAAGATTTTAGGGCGAGCGTGCGCGGCTAAGGCTAAAGCCCCATTGTTTCACACATTCCCCCCCCATCCGCGTAAATCCGCCACCGTGCATTCAGCACGCAGTGTTGTGCTCCAAGGCTCATGCAGCCCTGCAGCCCCAAGAGGTAGAAATGCTGTGAGGTTTCAGAGGCCCGGACCGCAGTTTCTCAGCGGTTCTCCCGGGACTCCCCGGGGAGCTCTTGGGAGCTCTTGGGGGCTCCTGGGGGCCCCCGCAAGACGGCCCGAGAGCGCCCTAAAAGGGCCCCAAAACGGCCCAAGGGGGCCACAAGACGGCCCAGCAGGGCCCCCCGAATGCCCCTACATGTCCAAGATGAAGAGCTCGAGCTAAGATGTCGAGCGCCCCGAAGGCGACGGGTCCACCCAGATCGCCAGCAGACCCTCAAGTCCCAACAGGCCCCAAGAGCCCCCAAGAGGTTCAGAGGAAGCCCCGGAGGCCCCCAAACGGCCCCCACGATACGCCAAAAGGCTTCAAAACTGCCTCCAAGAGACCCCCATAAAAGCTTCCGAAGACATGGGCCGAAGGCCGAAGGCCACGAGATCCGCCGCCCCCTGTCGATTCATCGCGGGGGTGCCTGGCGTGCTGAATCCTTTCGATTTTGGTGTTGGGTATTTTTCCAACAGCACTCCCCCGGTGCCTCTGGTCCGTCCCGCCGGCCAACTGGAAAGATTGCCCAGGATCTCAATTCCCCAATGTTTCGCTCAAGATGGCCCAAGATGGCCTCCAAGATGCCTCCAAGGCGGCCAAGATGGCCTCCAAGACGGCGAAGATGGCCCCAAAATGCCTCCAAGACGGCCCAAGATGCACACAAGACGGCCTAAGATAGCCTCAAGATGGCCCAAGACGGCCCAAAAGCACCCTAAGAGGTCTCCAAGACAGCCCAAGAGGCCTCCAAGAGGTCCTCCAGGAGGGCCCGAAGAGGCAAAAATCATTGATTCCTTCCGACGGCCCAAGAGGCCACCAAGATCGCCCCAAGATCGCCCAAGAGGACTCCAAGAGGGCCCCATGACGGCCCAAGAGGCCCCCAAGACGCCCCCAAGAGGGCCCCAAGACGGCCCAAGAGGCCTCCAAAACGCCCAAGATGCCTCCCAGACGGCTAAGATGGCCCCAAGATGCCTCCAAAAAGGCCCAAGATGCACCCAAGACGGTCTGAGATGGCCTCAAGATGACCTAAGACGGCCCAAGAGGCCCCCAAGAGGCCTCCAAGACGGCCCAAGAGGCCTCCAAGAGGTCCTCCAGGAGGGCCCGAAGAGGCCCAAATCATGTATTTCCCATAGGTGTTTGAAGGATTCTT